CAGGAGTGGATTCATTTATAGTAACAAAATCCTCCAGTTGTAGCCAAGTTTCTGTCAGACAGAATAAATCAATATGATGATCAGTTATCAGTTCATTAACTAACAGGGATTTAGAGGAAAGAGATCTGATGTTCAATAATCCACATTTAATGATTTTATGATTTTGCTCTGGTAAAGTAACTGTGTTTATTTTGATCAGATTTTTATGGTTTATATTTTTAGAGCTGATTTTTGGTTTATTTATTTTGAGCTGTGGGCGAGTTGACACTGTTTCAATGGGGGTGTGGGTGGGTAACAGAGGAGAAGCAGCAGAGAGGTGGACGACTACAACTCTGCTTCCTGGACTGGACCCTGGGTTGTCAATAATTTGGGGGATAAACAAAATCAGCCATATTTCTAGAAAGAAGAGCGGCTCTGTCCAAAGTGGGATGGATGCCATCTCTTGAACCAGCTGTTGGACCGCTATAACTCCATCATCTCTTGACAAAAGATAATCTCAGTTTAAGAATGAGATTAATTAAAGGCCAAGTATTTCTTGTTTCACCTTCCTTACGTTTTTTTTGTTTTTCTTCCAGTAAGTAAATACAGATATAGAGCTAGAAGCTGCACGTTCAAATGACTGCACACTTATAGAAAAGTTTTAATCACATGAAAAGAGGAATTAGACTGTAACGCAAGCAGCGGGCTGTGAACTAAGTGGCTATTATCTACCTAAACAGAACCAACAGGATCTCTGCTCACACATTTAGGTGGAAGGTATCAGAAAGTATCCTGGTGCCGGTGTGTTGGATAGAGCAGTGGAGCCACGTGACATGACTGTAGACGCAGGTGTTCAACTTCAGAGACAAGTTGGATGATCACGAATCAACACCTGGTCCCGTTTCTCCCTAAAATCTGCACACCCGCAATCAACATCCAAACCACCCAGTGGAGCCTGCATGCACAGCCCCACACCGAGCCTGGACCAGCACTCTATGCCTTTGGCAGCAAGTCATCCAGCTCACTTGCAGCAGACACACAAAAGCACTCAGGCAGATCTTTCCCTTTGTGTTTCAAGAATTTTTTATTTCCACTGACGGCTAGTGACCACACTGGTGGCTCAATGGGATTAACTTGTATAAATAAAGGTTGAATGAATGAAAATGTCCATTTTAGCAAATACTGTAAAACAAACCAGCCTGCATGGAGGATCAGTTGGTAGAGCTGTTGCCTCTCGGCAAGAAGGTTGCCAGTTCAAATCCCGGCCCAGAACCTTTCTGTGTGGAGTTTGCATGTTCTCTCCGTGCATGTGTGGGTTTTCTCCGGGTGCTCCAGTTTCTTCCCACAGAACAAAAATGTGCATGTTAGGCTGACTGGTGACTCTATTGGTTGGTTGTCTCGTTTGTCTCCATGTGTCCCTGTGATGGACTGGAGACCTGTCTAGGGTGTCCCCCGCCTCACACAATGACTGCTGGACATGGGCGCCAGTGACCCCCGCAACCCAAAAAGGAAGAAGCAGGTAAAGATAATGGATGGATGGAAAACAAATCACATTTATTCCAGATAATTTTATATTTTCCTTATTTTTGTTTTTCTTACACTCATCGGTCTATTGTTGCTTGTTTTCCAGTTTGTTGTAGGATTATTTTGTCCTTTGCTGCCATTTATTGAGATAAGACCCCCATCTGACTGAACCATCACTCTCTGTTCCACTGTATTTCCCGAAAACTTAAGTCTCAGCTCGGCCAGTGCATGAAAGGCAGCCAGCAAAACAGATGCTTTACATTCCTGAAGACAGCAACTCAAAACAAAGACCTGCTGTACTAAATGTGACATGGTCTATAGGAGGGAGGGGGGGACGACTGACTGAGAACAAAAAACACAGATCAAGTCTTCAACATGTGTGCTCGGTCTGCATTACCAAAATATGTGGATGTTGGCGTATTCTCCAACATACACAATATAATGTGCCAAATTAAACATGCAGCAGTAGAAGACATATCTTGTTGGGATCTGAGGAACATAGCTGCCCTCCATCAGCTCACACTACAATAGATTATGATCCATAAAAATCAGTTTGCATGATGGGAGACTTCTATCGTCTGTTCTGGGTTCAATCTTATTACTCATACACAGTGTCAGCTCTCATTCAAGTGGAAGGATATTCAACATATGACCGCATTAGTTATTTAAGATTTGGTGTAGGCACTTTCATGTTTCTGGTGTTTGTAATTCTGAAGTGGCAGAAGTCATGATTATTATTAATAATAATAATAATAATAATAATCCATTAGTTTAAAAAAGTAAGTAAGCTCAATCATCCAAGTAAATAAATCACAAAACAGTTAAATCAGGTCATCTGGACAGTTTCTTCTTGAGTGAAATGTTTCGTCTTTCATCCGAAAGACTTCATCAGTCTGAGGCCTGCCACCAAGATCTGTCTTATAAATAGCACCTTATTGACATGTTTCAAGCCAGTCTGCTGTGGAACTCACAAAAACTGGCTTTACACATGCAAAAATGTTATGATTTAACAGATTTAACTTTTTTTGTGATTTATTGATCTGGGTGATTGAGCTTACCTACTGGTGTCCTCAGGGTGGTTCGGTGAGTAGGAAGTGGCCATCAGGCCTATATCATTTGATTGTTATGCATCAGTGATTAATTGTTTTAGACTGATGGTCGTCTTTTTGCATGTGTAAAGCCAGTTTCTGTGAAATCCACAGCAGGCTGGCCTGAAACAGACCAATAAGGTGCTATGTCTAAGACAGATCTTGGTGGCAGGCCTCAGACTGATGAAGTCTTTCGGATGAAAGACAAAACGTTTCTTCCAAGAAGAAATTGTCCAGATGACCTGATTTAACCTTTGTTTGTTATCCTTGAGTAGTCGTCGTTTTCTTTTGGATGCTCTGTTTTTCAAGGGTCGCCACAGCAAACAAACTTCATATGAAAAATGTGTTAATTGTTTTATGCCTCATATCCTTCCTGATGCAAACTGAGCTTGAACTTGCAGCCCCAGGATTACAACCCTAGCAATGACCGCTGATCCACTGCATCATAATCCACGAGTGACTATACTATATACCAGTAATTATTATTTTCTTTTAAAATGGTTCTAATCTGTATTTTTAGGAGCAAATAATTTCCTGCTAATCTCAAATCAGTGAATCTGCAGCACTTTTTTTTTCCCCAAGACACCCGTATAGTTTCAGCTCAGGTTGGATCTCCACCACCATCTACATTGTTATGATCCTCTCTGTTGGCTCCTTTTTAAAAACATCATGCAGCTGTTTTCTTTATCTTTTTCCATATGCTTTATCATACTAAACTAGAGCTAAGGTTGCATATCAACATTCTCTGCTTTCATGCTTTATAGTTTGTGGTTATTTCTCTGATTGTCTCTCTGTGTTTGTTGTTTTCACGTCTCTAACAAATGAAGCCATGCTTAACTCATATTCTCCACAGACGAAGACCTTTTGTTTCTTAATGCAGATAAACTGTCTGGAAATGTTTTAATAGTCAAATTAACAGAATTTCCATACAAGTTAGATTTATTGAGCTTTCTATGGCTCCAAGCCTGAAGAAGCATTTCCATACTTGAACTCTACGACTGTATAGTGACTCAAACTAATCTAAAGAAACATCAGATTTGTCGTTTGTGTTATTAGCCATTGTAGGAATGCTCTGTCCACATGCAGGTGTCCCATCTTATCACTTCCTGTTAATGCACATATGAATATCTTAACAAATGTTTGGGGGGGGGGGGGGGGGTTGCAATATGTTATAATGTTATTTTTTCAAATATGTGTTCATATTTATCACAAAATTTAATGTCACAGGCACTTTCAGAGCTCCAGTCATGCTGAAGATGTGTCCAGATGTTATAGTCTGCACTTCTAAATATTCAAATAGTAGAGTTTTAACTTTTTAACCTTTAACCTTTTTTATTAAGCCACGCCCCTTAACTTTGACTCTTTAACCATTTTTATAGGTCAAACGCTCTGTATGTTTTAGCCTATATTGTTACTTGATCAATGCTTTATGATAAGTTCTACTGACTTCCAGCAGGTGGCTTGTAAAAGTCATTTTCAGTATCAATGGCTTTTTATTTGGTTAAATAAAGGTAATGAAAGCACCTCTTGGTTTTATCTCAAGTGCTCTTAAATTCAATTCTCATTTATCTACACTTACGCAAACACAAACACACGCACAAAGAAGCAACGTGCTCAGCATCAGGAGCTAGAGTACAACGTGTAGCGGTTTAGCCAGGAACAAACCAACACCTGGGGTGCACATGATTCTTTTTTCTCTTACCTAAGCAGTTTTACTCTGCTTTGCACAAATTGTGAAGTCATCAGATTTGGTTTATGTTTTTTTTTTTTTTTTTTTTTTTAAACGAGACCAATGTCTCTATGTAAGTTTATGTATTAGATCACTGCTAACATCCTTCTAAACAAGCATGCCCTATCAGAATGAGAGGGAAGTCTAGGAGCCAGCTGACTTTACACACTTTCTTCTTCACACAGTATCCCTCCATCCTTGTACGGAGGCTCTTTTTCATATTTTCATCTTTTTTTTCTCCATTTCCCTCCAGCTGCTTTCTGTTTCTGACACGTTTTTTTCTGCACTATCATTTCTGGGTAATTTCAAGTTATTGCTTCTTCGTACACTTCTGTAAAAAGGACAGAACATTGGCTTTTTGATTAGACTGCAGTTTACATGAAGGAGCTCTCTCACTTCCACGGGTTTACTTCGTTAATTGGTTTCAGTGTGCACCCAGCTGAGAAAATAACCCACAAAAAGCAACGTAACCACATCAGGTGAATGTTTGTTTTTGCAGATTCAGATGTTCTACTACATTTTTATCAGTCTGCGTTTAAAGCAGTTTGTAGTGTGTTTGATTTTCATGAGTCGGGGGTCAGAATGATCTCAATGAACTGTTTCACTCCGATGTTAATGTAAAATTCTGATTCTGAACTCTGGATAAGTGTGTTTTACAAGCATTTTTATACCTATTTCAGGTTCAAATGCAGAGGAGCTGACCACAGAGAAGGCCCATTCTGCAGTGGAGGGGATGTTCAGGACCCTCAGAGGTTTGAGCAACACCAGAGACCACCTCAAGCAGCTGCGCCACATCTACACTGCAAGCGATGGAGTCCATCAGGTATGCTTCATCTCACAGTTTGGGCGCCGTATTCTAAAATGCACATAAGCAGAAAACTGAATCATCAAAGAAAATGTTTTTCTTTTTGACACAGCTTCACTCAGGTATGCTTAGTGCAACTGGACGGCAAAGACCATGATCCAGTCTCCTTTCATAATCTATCAGAGCCCGACCTATATGGACATTTTTGCTATTACCGATACCGATATTGGGAGGGAGCAGCTAATGCGCTAACCAATTTATTGGCTGAAATTTTTTTAGCTTTGTCCACCTCCAAAAATCTAAGCAAACAGCTACTTTTCAACCTCAAACGTCAAAGTTCATGCTCAATAATCCAGGTAAAAATCCAACAATGTTCAGTCAGGTCATCTGGACGGTTTCTTTTTTTGCTGAGATGTTTTGTCCTTCATCCAAAAGACTTCTTCAATCTGAGGAGACACCAAACAAACTGAGTCCCACAAACAGCATACTTCATAGTGGAAAAATCAGTTTGCTGGTGCTGAGATGGCCTCAAGGGCCCGCCCTCTCCCCTGCTAGACCTCTGGTGTTTCCTCAGATTGAAGAAGTCCTTTGGATGAAGGACGAAACATCTCAGCAAAAAAGAAACCGTTAGATGACCTGACTGAACATTGTTACTTTTAAAAAACCTGTTTTAACACCAAGTTATTTATTTGATAACATTTCTTCGAAGAGAAGACAGGCTTTAGGCGAGCCGATTTGCTCTGTTGGCACGGACGCAGCTGGATATCTCATCGACTTGAAGACTTGATGACGTGTCTATCTCTGCTGCCATTTGTGGATTTTAAGGACGCATATTTATTTGGATTTACGATAACTGGTTCCTGCTATTTGGATTCGGCTGGTTGCTGGTTTTATCTACAATCAAGGAAATCGTCGGCAGCAAATTGGGACCTGTTTGGTGTTTTTCTCTGACCTATAAAGGAATAAATTCACACAAGACAACGAAAATGAGTTTTAGCGCTCAGAGCTTTGCAAAGGGGAGTCACGCAACTGACTGTGTCCGAGTGAGCTACGAAGCCAGACTGTCTGAGTTTGCTATTTATTGAAGTAGGAGTGGAAAACAAAGAAACAACAGGTCAGTTTCACATGAACAGAAAACTTATCAGCGATGACGGTCGGAACATTCAGGAGATTGTGTCTGAATGAACAGTTTCCTGATAAACATGTCCACTTGGTGTGATTCAGAGCTTCTTCGCACACAGCAAGATAAAAACTGAACCCAAATTAAATTTTGTTCAGCACATGCAGAAACAGTTTTAATATAATGAGATAGAAGCTGTTTAAAGTGATAAGATAGAAAACCTTTAACAGGACCCGATCACGCTGCTTGCCTTTATGCTCTTGGTTCATGCCTCGAGTACCCAGACTCAAATGCTTTTGGGCAGAATGGATCAGATCTCGGGGATTTTACTCAGTCACATTCCATCAGTGTGGCCATGTAATTTGAACATTTCGGAACAGAGTGGACCAACACAGACTCAAGGTAGATGTCATTAAGTTCTGCCTGTCCCCAAAACAACTGTGTGTTTAGCTGAATTTGGCTCCCTTGGCTGGCCTTGAAGGCCATCTTATCTGAATTTGCCTGGAGAATTTTTTCGCCTCCAATTCCTACATGTGTCTAGTTTCATTACTTTTTGTCTGTCTAAACAGATCTCACTTGTAAATGAGTCTTCTAGGATCAACGTGACTTATCTGTCTAAATAAAGGTTGAATGAAAAAGTCTTGAAACAGTCTTCCTAACGTGTTCACATTTTCTATCCTCCACTATTCACCATGAAGTTATCAAGTTTCACCATAAAGTGAAAGTCAAAGTTAAAGCAGCCATGACTTGAAAGTAGTCCACATGCATCCTCTGCTGGATACATCATACGTACATGTCTTTTGCAAGTAGAAACCGCTCATTCCCAGCATTTTAGAGGTGAAAATGAGACGTGTTTATATCGGTGCATAATTGGCCAATTATTACTGATACCGAAATGTCCCCAGATACCTATATGGACAAAAAATATTGGCTATACCAATATATCGGTCGGCCTCTAGTATTAATACACACGTTAGTGCTGTCATTTCTAACCCAAACCTGGAGCCCAGCCCTTTCCGATGCAGATTAGGGCCGGTCGGGCCCATAATGATGTGCTTAATATGTGGGCTGGGTCAGTGTCGGGCTTTTGATTGCGTCAGCGGATGCGCGCAGCTGACGATCCAATTATATGGCAACATGGCTTGCCATACATTTACTAGCCACACACAGCCATTTGACCTGCGCTCTGACTGTCCTTGAAAGAGGTAAAAAGTTCAGTTAAGCTTCAGATGAACTATTGCCAGCGATCCATCGCCCAAATGGACGTTCATTCAGCTGTTGCACTCAGCAGACGCACACGGCCGACGACCCAAACAGGTGAGATCACAAAATATCAGACATGTCAGAGCAGGGTCCATGTCTGAAAAATGAAGAATACAGGCAGAAGCAGAGATTTAATGCACATTGACAGCCATGAAAGGTCAAACACCGCCTCCAATCTTCTGCCCCCTTAGCTGCACATGTCCGCCGACCTGTTAATAACTATATAAGCAGTCAAAGCGTACTGTATGTTCCAGTGTATAATTCACAGTTTTTTGCATAATTTACATGGCCTGCGACTTATAAGCTGAAGTGACATATTTATGGATTTTTTTCCCCATATTTAAAAACCATTTTTTTGGCTGAGATATGACCGTTTTCATTCATTCTGACTGAAAAAAAAAATTTAACAGTACCACTTTCAGCCACTTGATGGAAGCAGAGTAATAATAGCATTATGGCATGCTGTTTTATCATGTAATAGATAAATGTAGCTAAAAGGACAAATTCAAAAAAGTTAAAGACAAAAACAACTGGACTTTATTTATTATACTATACTTTATACTTTATTGTTTTTGTCTTGAAATTTTTTGAATTTGCCATGTCCTGGATGACTGAGAATCTTCACCAGCTTCTAATGACTCAATTGGCCTGCCATAGTCTCCCCACCTATATTCTGCTTACTGCTTGGAACCGTCAAAACAGCTACACCGCCCCGGCGAAATGCAGCTAATTTGACCATTAAAGTGCATTTATTAAGCAAATGTTAGACTGAAACACACCTTTGCTGTAATTTTGAGCAAATATATTTTTTAGGTAGTTATCTTGTCAAATTTTAAAGAAATGCAGCAGGTTGTCCATCTGCATGTGCACCCTTCGCAGCAGCAAAACTATTTTGAAATTCAGCTGATTTGACCATTAAAGTGCATTTTTTAAGGAATAGTTCAACTGAGACACACCTTTGCTATAATTTTGAGCAAATAATTGTTTTTAGGTGGCTATCCTGATAAATTTTCACAGCAACTCGTCACGTGCACGCGTTTACTTACGTGTATTGGCTTTTAAAATACAGCTGATTTGACCATCAAAGTGCATTTATTAAGCAAACGTTAGACTGAAACACACATTTACTATAATTTCTAGCAAACAAATAATTGTTTTTAAGTGTTAATCTTGTTACATTTCGAAGAAATGTGGAGGCTCTTCCCTCTACGCGTGCCCGCCGCTTCTGCGAATTGGGTTTTGAAATACAGCTGATTTGACTGTCAAAGTGCATTTATTAAATGGTAAATGGACGGTACTTAAGCCCCCAGTATACTGCCGCGTACGTCCGTTCACGTGTACGTACGCGTGTACTGTACGCAGAGGGTTCAGACTTTGTACTCCAACGTACACCCCAAGCAGCTGCAGAGCAGCTTTACAGACAGGGGGCGTTTACCTTCGGGACAAATTGAGGTCGCCGATTGGTCATCTGCTGACACGCCTACTAGATTTTTTTTTTTTTCATTTTTTTTTTTTTCATTTAGCCTTTATTTATCCAGGTAGTCTCATTGAGCCACGAGAACTCATTTTCAAGAGAGACCTGTTTTTTAGGGAGCACATGGTGGGGTTAAGGGCCTTGCTCATGGGCCCACGGTGGGGCGAATGAGGGTGGGGGCAAGTGTGGGTGTTTCACCTACCCCACCCACAATTTTTTTGATTTTGTCGGGGCCGGGGCGTGAACCAGCGATCTTTGGATCACAGGCCCACCTCTCTAACCTCTGCGCCACCACTCCCCCCCAGATTGATTGACAGGTCGGAAAAAAGAAAAAAAGCGAGCGCTGGCAGCCTCGCTGGCAACCTCACTCGCAGCGGTGTTCTGTGTTTATATGTTAATAAAAAAAAATCTAAAAATATAAATAAAAAACAGGGAGCGCTGGCTCTACAGCCCACACATCAGACCAGCCCACCAGGAAATCTCCAGACCCTCCCGCAGCCATGCTGGACCTGAGTTTAAGGGTGCATTCACACCAGCCCTGTTTAGTCCGCTTTAATCGAACTCTAGCTCGTTTTCCTAGAAAGTCCGGTTCGTTTGGGGAGGTGTGAACGCGCCATCAAACTCTGTCACGGAACAAAAAGATGAACTCTGGCCCGGGCTAAAACCTAGGTCTCGGCCTCCTTTACTCCTCTCTCAAACCATCGTTCCTGTCTTTCCAGGATACAAGTGACACACAAGACAGACTCTAAAGCAATGTGGATATCCTAACTGGGCCTTCCTGAAAGAAAAGAAACCCAAACAGGACTCCAGTCAGCCATCAGGTAAAAAGGAAGAACCCAGACCAGTGGTCATTCCATATGTTGAGGGAGTATCAAAGAAACAGAGACGTTTATTTTCTAAACACAATGTCCCAGTGAGTTTTAAACCCCAAAATACATTACGGCAAAGACTGGTTCATCCCAAAGATCCAGTCCCCCGGCACAAACAGAGTAATGTTGTGTATGCTGTTCAGTGTCAGGAGGGCTGTGATCAGTTTACATTGAGGAAACTAAACAGCCACTGACCAAAAGGATGGCCCAGCATAGAAGAGCAACACCATCAGGCCAGGACTCTGTGGTCTACACTCATCTCCAGGCCAGCGGTCATTCGTTCAGAGATGAA